CCCTATCTACTCTCCTCTAAATGGGGGTCCATTGCTTGTGCCCAAACCAGGCAATGGCCCCAACTCGTACGTACCAGCCTTGTCGCGGCAGAGGGGCTCAGTACCCAGGGGAAATGCTGTAATGGTATTTACCCTGGGGAAGCAAATGGTACGGCGGGGGACTCAGGAGTGACCCTATTCTGAAGGGCTTTAGCATGGCTTAGGCCTCTGCTTTGGGGAGAGAGAGCGGAGGGGAGTACCCGAGGGTACAGGGTATAAACTGGGGGGCGCGCACCTGGGGCGTTACATAGTTAGGGGCCCGGGGGGACTTAGCCAGTATCCTTTGGCCGCCCTGATCAGGTAATGTATAATCTTGTGCCCCGTCCGATTGCGAGGTGGCGCCTCGGTTAGGTCCATCTGGCGGGGTGCGGGGGCCTACCCCGAGGCCACGGGGCCTTCCCTCTCCTCTCTCGTAATCCCTGTAGTGGGGTTGGGGTGTGCTGGTGTTGGTTTGGATTAGGTGATCTCCTGGGTCTGGGGGGTTTTGGGGTTTTCTTTTTTTTAATTATCATGGATAGTGTAAGCAAAGTTAAACGTTTATACGCGCCGGGTGGTGGGGGGGAACAGCCTAGTTCCCAAAAAGTAGGGAGTAGAAAGAAGAGTAGGCCATCTGATATATCGATGGATCAAAGTTTGGTACTGAGTAGAGACTCGTTAGGTATTTTGGAGCATGTAGGAAAATTGAGTACTGAGGTGTATAAGATATGTACAGCTAAAGATGCTAGAATAACAAAGCCTATAGGTAAGAACTTGATTGATTCGTTTGCGGATATAAAATCAATTGTATATAATTTGTTAATAGAGAATGAAAATTTAAAGGGAAGAGTGGAAATAATAGAAGAGGTTAATAAGAAAATATCAGGTTTAGGTCAAGCTAATGTATCATACGCTGAGGTAGTTAAAGATTCAGTACATTCGGTTGTTGATACTAAAGATGAGTCTATTAGAACAGTGTTAGTGCGAGGAGAGCAAGGAGAAGGTAGTGAACAAGTAAAACAAAAATTTTTATCGGTAATAGAACCTGGAAAGGATAAAATTAGGATACAAGGCATAAGAAAGATGAGGGATGACGGGTTAGTTGTGGTTTTGGCATCTACAGAAGATAGAGAAAGAGTATTACATCATGAGGGTTTAAATGAGAGTAAACTAAGGTTACAAAAGCCTGTCAAGCGTAGACCTCGTATGTTGTTGTTGGATGCTCCTAGAGAGTATACAGAGAGTGAGTTAGTTGAATCTATTTATGATTTAAATAAGGATTTTATATATAGAGGTTGTGTTGAGGATGAGGATGATTTTGTGAGTTTTAATTTAGATTTTAAGTTATTGTATAGAATTGGAAAACGACGCGATTCTTTAGTGAATTGGGTTATTGAAGTGACTCCTGAACTAAGACGACGTTTTTTGGCAATGGGTAGGTTATATATACAGTATCGTAGTTGTATTATTAAGGATTATTACGAGATAATACGGTGTTTCAAATGTCAGCAATTCGGTCACTTAGCAAAGGATTGTAGACAACAACAGGATATATGTTTTCGGTGTGGACAGAGTGGGCATAGGGGAGGTGATTGTCAGGAGGAAAGTCAATCTAGAATTTGTATAGCTTGTCGTAAGATGGGTAAACCAAGTGCGCATGTTACTAAATCAAGGGATTGTTATTCTTATCACATGGCAGTGTTTAGGTATAAACAGCATATAGATTATGGTTAATAAGGGTGTAAATTTGTGTAGGATATTACAAATTAACATGCAGAGGAAAATATCCTTACCTGAGGAGGTACTTAGTTACTCTTATCGAAACGGGGTAGATATAATATTGTCGCAAGAGCCATATGCTGTACGACAGCGTGTTGTGGGATTCGGGAGGACTAGAGTGATCCAGAGTTTAGGTGAAACTCCTTGGACTGCGATAGTTGTGGTAAATGATAGTTGGACTATTTTAGCATTAACATTTTTGTCCTCGCGAACCTGTGCAGTAGCACAGATGCTACGAGATGATATATCTTTTTATGCGGCAAGTTTATATTTTCCCCCGCATCAGGAGATCGAGATCAGTTTGGATGAGTTAGAAAACTTATTGAGAAACCTCAAAGGAAAAAGGGTGATTTTAGGTATAGATTCTAACGCCAAAAGTCCACTTTGGGGTGATAGTAGATTAGATGATAGAGGGAAAAAGGTGTTGGCTATTTTATATAAATGGAATTTTGTAGTGGTTAACACACAGAACATAATTCCTACATATAGGTCATCTACTGGGGAATCTTTTGTTGATATTGTTGCTGTATCTTATAATATGTTATCATATATACAGGATTGTGAAGTTAGTCATGATAATACAACTAGTGATCATGCCACATTAATGTATGATATTAAGTTTAATAAAGATTTTAGTGCTCTGGAGTACAGTTATAATTTTCGACAAGTTAATTGGAATAAGTTTCGAAAAATTTTAGGTAATTATTTAAATAATCATAGGATTGTAGAGATTGAGGATAAACGGGATGTAATGTACTTATGTAGTATTATACATGAGGCTATAAGGAGGGCTATATGGGGGACTGCTAGGCTTGTTAAGAGTAAAAGGCCAAGATCATTATGGTGGTCAGATGATTTGCAGAAGTTGAAATTGCATGTTCAGAGATGTAGAAGGATTTTTCAAAGGGAGGGCGATGTTGTTCTCCGTGAAATTAAGCATAAGGAATACCAGTTACAAAATAGGTTGTATAAAGATAGTGTTAAAAAAGCAAAGTTGAGTAGTTGGAGGAATCTAGTTGAGGGAATGAATGTCAGGAATGTGTGGGGTATTCCTTATAAGATAATTTTTGAAAAAG